TTATTATTATTATTATTATTATTATTACGTACGCTACAATGCAAACGATAAGCGAAACAACATACAGAGATGTAAAACACGGTAAACGCGGTGACACTATTACAATAGCCCATATTCACGATAGCCACCATGATGGTTTTCGTATTATAATGCAAATTAGCCACGTTGTCCGCCAGTGGGCAAACATTGAAATGGTTCCCATTTTTCTTAAAATCGGCTTGCCTAAGTGGTCAAGTCTCTGCACCAATATCACATTTGGGAGCCAAGTTATGGAATAATGATTTTATTATTAATTTAAGTTTGAAAAAGTTTTTTGATAACTTGACTTATTAACTACGCGAGACGTTTTCTTTTTATAAAAGCGCCCAAATTCTGTAAAACTTGGAATATTTTCACCCCAATACTGAAACCAAAGCATGGATACGAAAAAAATTATCAGACATGATAAGAGACCAGCTGAAATTTGCCGATTTTAGCTTGTTTGCCCCTTAAGAAATCACGTGCATGATTTGCATTATAATGTAAAAACAAACATGGCGGTTATCGTGAATAAGGCCTATTACATCTTGCCCTAGTGTGGCTGATAGTACCTTCAGATAATCCTTAATTTTCTGTTAACTTCTTAGCAAGTACACCTGCAGTGCAGAGTACCAAGGGTAATTTCATCTTTCTTCTCTGAGGTTTTGTTTCTAATTTCATCGTTTTCTTTTTGCACAAAAGAGACGTTTTAAATTTAAACGTCTTTTTACGAAATTACTTTTGGCCGGATAGAGAGGTCTCCTTCACTCGTCTTACCGGTATCCGGCCAAAAGTAATTTCGTAAAAAGACGCTTCAGACGGCCCAGGAAGGCGAAAAAACACCACACATGAGTCGATTAACGTTTCATTTAACTTTATTGGGATATTCAGACCGAGATGTAAGTTAGATATGCAATCTTCAGAGCTTTATTCATAACTCTCATAGATTCTGTTCGTTTCATATAAGCAATTATTAACTACGAACACATGGAGTGGTCCGCCTGTGAATAGGGTATCATTTTTGCCCCTTTGCCCCTGTTGGCATTGTTTTCTCGGTGTGATCCATTGATGGGGTACCTAAATCGTAGCAGCTAAAATTCCAGTGCTTTAATGCCCTGCCGAAACGAAAACGATGTCAGTGTCACAGTGACCCGTTCGATCTAGGCTGCATTGCAGGCTGTAGGTCGATCACGCCATTACACTTTCAAAAAAATCATTCTACGTTGTGTCGGTTTCTGCTTTTGTATTCTTCAGTCAATGTAAACCCCCACCCCGGGACAAGGTGGGAATTAGTCGGGAAAAGAAGGGGATTTGAGGGAAACCGCATCCCCGAGGCGATGGAGGATTGGGAAATGTTTGTATTTAACCGTCATCTCCAGGTTAAGGGGTTTGAGAGGGGGTTTGCACTGGTTTGTATGCGTAACTAATGATTTTGACAATAAAAAATGCCCTTTTAATGGCCATTTCTGCTAGGGAGTATTATTAAGACAATTTACTGAGTGATTATACTGACTACTGCAGCTAGTTATGTAGTATTGCTATTCTGTTATACAGAACTTTGCTTAAATGTTCTTGCTTTTGAGGCTCCTAATCCAATATATCTCAGGCTAGGGAAGCCCCACATGGTGGGAGCATTTGAGCATTTGAGGACTTTGGTAGGCGGACAGCTTCCCCAGGGTGAGGGAAATTTGTTAATGTTTGTAACAAATCCCCACCTTGTCCAGGGGTGGGGCGGTGGGAGTTTACATTGACTCCTGCATAAGTTGAAATATCCAGAACGGACACGATCAGGAGTCCCCTGGGGTTCGAGAACCTTGACCCATTGTGATGGCGCGCGAGATATGGGTACGACGACAAACGGGGTTTGGTAGTTGGTGCGTTTAAGTTGCTAATGGAGTCCCTTCATCTCCATAATATTACCTGCAAACTCAGCTGATTTTGAAGGAGTCTGTCACTCGAATTGGAAAGGAAAACTGCTCCTTTTGCTTATCATTCACCAGGTAATCTGTTTTTGCGTACATCTTCGTAGATTTTGGGCTTTCGCCGGTATTTTGGTTCCATCAGATCTAATCAAATGTGGCTGACGTAACAGATGCGATCAAACTTCTGGAAGAGTAAGGTCATTAGTACAAAAATTCACGCTTTCAACAGTTAATTCGAAAAGTTAGATGAAGTGAAGTCAATAGGTGATCGATGTTCGTTCAGAATTTGTCTTCGTTGTACTTCGTTATTTGACAGTTGTGCAATGTTTTACTGAAGTGTTGCGGTTCATCTGGCATGCCGAAGGAGCCGATGGAATTTTCTAATTCTAATTATAGTTACTTACTTCACGTTTGATTCCCTCTTCCAGCTATTATCTTCTTACAGAGTGGAATGCGGCCAACAGTTCTGTTTTGTTTACTGGCCTTTAGTGGCTCCTTAGTAAGTAATGTCAGTACTTAAAAGGTCTTAAAATAGCAGTTTACTGATCTTAGTCCTAAATTTGTTTTGATAATAGCCCTTAGCTTTATTTGTAATTCATATTTCCAGTGTATTAGACAGTCTATAATTAGGTGGGCTGTTAACTGAAGTTACTCGTTAAATTTAGATCAAGACATTTGATTTCGGAGACATACATTGTAATCTGCACTTTATATTCATTTACTTGCAAGCAAGTATCTTTACAGTCTTTACAACCAAATACATGTACCATATTATGTGGTACAAATCTGCACTGGCTCATCCTATGGGAGGGCTTCCCCCTATATAGAGCAACAAGGGTAAATGTCAATACATTTAAGGGTTAAAATCTGTTTGATTAGTACTGCTTATCTGCTTGGTTTGTGTGATATCCTGGGCATAGTCAATTGTTAAACCAATAATCGATATTAATCAATAACAATCAATCTCAATCTTTGATTAACATTGATTGCTGGTAGCCATCGATGAAGAAAAAAAGTTGTGAATTGATTGTTATCGATTGCTGATAGTAATCGATAGCGACTGATTCATCAATTGGTATTGATTATCATCAATTGTTATCGGAAATTATTTTTGTCCTCTTGCAAATAACACTGACAAAATGTTTTACAAAATTTGTCTTTGGTTTTGTTGAGTCATTTTATCATAGCCTGTGTATCTTTTACAATCATCGACAAAATAACAAGAACAGAGACAACTAACCGAAACATTTTAGGGTTTACATCTTTACATCATGTCAAGATCCTGCGTTAGACCCCAGAAGACCTGACTGTGTTGTTCAAAAGGTGCATAACACTATCCACTGGATAAATCACTATCCAGCAGATGGTGTGGTTTGTTTTCTTCACACTTTTCCACTGGATAGTGATTTATCCGGTGGATAGCATTATCCAGTCAGTCTTCGAACAACTGGGGCCTGGAGAAGGGATCACTCCACCTGGACTTTAACAATAGTAATGATAATAATAATAGATATTTCTATAACGCCTATCCAGATCTGTTCTAAGTGCTTTACAAAAGTAATTTAAGAGCCAAAAAGAAAGTTCTAAGAGATAAAAATACAGAGAACATGCTGAAGATAAACTCCTGTCTTGTGTTGTTCCAGGTATTATTTTAAACAATAACAAAGTCATCTTTGAATAGTGCAGGTGGTGGTTATTGGTTTTTGCCAATCAATAGCTATCAATAAAGAAATTTTTCAGTGAGTTCGGTTGTTATTGATTGCTGATAACATTCGATAGCAATTGGCGATTGATATCTATAGATTGAATCAATTGATTTCCGATATTGGTTTTTATTGATACTTTTGGGATGTTTAATTATTCCAATACCTTTCATGGTGCTCAGATCAATTCAAAACTTCATCTCCTTAATACCCTTGGGCAATTAACCTACATGTATAGGCAAGTGGTCAGTGTTACAGTTGTTCAAATTCCCATCCTCCAGACGAAGATGTTTGTTTAATGGCCCACTCTAAGGTCACATTACACTGTAGGTGATCAAGCACTCCTATCCCAGGATATACACAGCAAAATGACTAATGCAACAGGAAAAAAAATCACCCTCCAACACCATGTTGAACTTCAGCTTGTCCCTGGATTAGTGACCAACAACCTGACCATAAAGTGGGCTTCACTTTATTAAGTTAACATAATTTTTCACTTTCCTTTGTACTAGACGTTACATGTGGAAAGCAAAGTTATCTGTGGTGAAAACCAGTATACTGTGACAAATGGCAGCTTTTCATATTGTTTACATTGTGATACGTGCCATCCTGGTTATGGATTGTATCCTGCGTGCGGACAGTCAGTTACATATCCACCCAGTAATATTGGCTGCAAGCTTTGTCCTAATGGGACGTTTTCAGACAAACTTGATTCAGCTCCTTGTTACAGCTGTCAGCAGTGTGCAAAGCTTGAAATAGTAGCTGCTCCTTGTACAAGAATCTCAGACACAATTTGTAATGGAACTTGCCAGAAAGGGTATTTTTTGGCCAAGAAGGTGCCTCATACCTGCCAGCAATGCTCATACTGTTGTTTTGACGGAAAAGATGAGGAACAACCAGAGTGTATTAAGCAAGGCCTCAATGTTACAGGTAGACACTGTAGTGTGAGGCTGGATAAGCAATGTGGTCCTCTTCTGAGTTCAGCAGCAACAGAGACCACCCAAGGAACATCTGAGACACATCTGCCGTCGACAACACATTCACCAGCTTCAGCCAAGCAGACATCAACATCTCACCCAACAAATCACCATGGTGGTAATCCTGCTATTATTATCCTAAGTATACTAAGTGGTCTATCTTTAGCAGCTCTAATAGTTGCAGGAATGTTGTATTATAAGAGGAAGAATCGGATATGGAGAAGAAAGAGTACAGACAGTATTGTCCCTGACATTGAGAGAAAAGCAGTTACAACAGGCAGAAGCTCTGGTAAGCACACGTAGCTAAGTAATTAAAAGTGTATTCCTTGTACATCTTTAAAGAAGTTCTCATTAATTTTGATTATTTACATTATTTTGCCTTACATAGTTTTGCATCACAATAATGCTAAGTAATTGGCTTAAAAAACTTGTTGTACCACTTTGTAAGCCAATCCGGAATACAACAAAAACCAACTATCGTAACTCGCTTACACACCTTTTCTCACACTTGGTGCCAGCTAAATGTATCTGCTTGGAGTTGTGATTGGTTAATTATTAACTGTCTGACCATCGTTTGTGCCCTATTGTCATTCTAGCCTGCAAAACAGGCAGATTAGTGGGCTCTAGCGTGATACACAAGCGCGTGCAAATGAGCGCAAAGCGTAAGGTGAGAAAAATCTGTCTGTAGTCACACCATTGTTTATGCTCTACCACCACCCCCTTGAAATCATTGGCCTGAAAGAATGAGAGAGAACAAAACAATTCAATTTACTGGCGCAATAAAATGTCTCAAGTAACCAATTTACAAGTTTATACAGACGCAAAACAGTCAACAGTCGTGAACATCTAAATTTACCTAAATTTAAATCATGTGGTGCCAGAACAAACAAAGGAGGTACATGTATAAACAGGTCTAAACATCGAGCTCAGGAGACGAAAAGCTCGAACAAATTCTGGATGCAAGAAACATTACAACACAGAATGGATCTCTAAGATTCTCGAAGTAACACTACAGCAGTCTCTGGCGATGCCAGACAAAGCTAAATATAATACAGTTTTAATTTAACAACCGGGCCCAACATCACAATATAGAATGCAAATAATCAACGTTGATGATCACCGACTTTGTCCCTCCAGAGCGAATAGTTAAAGAGATACAACATATCTTTCTGCAATAGAAATGAGGCAAGACAAACAACACTTTACTTGGCACATGTATGGCAAACTACAGAGGTGTCAAGCTCTAAAAAGCGATACTAGATAACACCTGAAACTATGCAGAGCTGTGACCTCTAACAGTCCAACAGCTCTACTCTACTTTTAAAAACATCATCCTGTTAACACAACATAAAGTACTCTTCAGAAACAAGTGAAGAGCAAAATAAAAGGTTGAGAGGCTGGAATTTATAAGAGAATGGCAAATGTAGAAATGTCACGAGCCGTAGGAGTCCATGTAGGCCTGACACCTGAATTAAACATATTTTGTTTTTTCTCGCATCTGATGTCACGCAGCTTAAAGCAACCAATCAAAAACTATTCGCCAGGCAAACGATTGGAAGAGCATAAACAATGGTGTGACTACAGGCAGATTTTTCTCGCCTCGCGCTTCGCACTTGTTCACACGCATTTGTGTATCACGCTAGAGCCCGCTAATCCGCCTGTTCTGCAGGCTATTGTGATTCAGGCCAGAATGCCCAGGGGGGTACTTGCAGGGGGGGTCTGACAGAGCTTCCTACTGCAAACCCAAAAAAATACATGAGCCTGAAATTTCACACCCAAAATTATACCTGGCATCAAAATTTCCTGCCCAAAAAACAAGATACAGGTTGCTGAAAAAAAGTTTGAGTGAATAAATTATTTTCTGATTCACTGATTGCAACAAAAGTTTCGCTCAGAGGTGTGTAAACCCGAAAAAATACACATATTTTTTAAAGACCTAAAAAAATATGTGACATCTTTTGACCCAAAAAGATACAGAGGCTGTAAATTTTCAACCCAAAAACAAAGTTAGACCCCCCCCCCCCATGCATACTGTGAGTACCCCCCTGGGCCAGAATGATTACTTTAAGTTTATGACACTTAATTAAAAACCACTCAACCGTAGATAACAATGGCTCACAAAAGTTCAACACTGAGCCATTGAAGTGGTTAATACTACTGGTCAGAGCTTATTACTGGTTTCCATAACATCAATTAAGAGACTAACTCTCCCTGGATGAGATGCTAGTCCATCACAGGGTTACCCTCTACAGCATTTATACATTAAAATGCCAGAACCCATCGATTTATACAGTATGAGAGTAAAATGTGTTGCACAAGAATGCAGCCCAATGATCCTGGCCAGGCTCAAACTTGGACTGCTCAATCTGAAGTCCAGCTTGCTAACCATGAGGTCACTACATCAGTCTGGACTAAATAATTATATTTCAATCTGTTTCAGCCCAAGGAAACTATGGCAATACCAGTACTACTACTCAGCTACCTCAAGTAGTATATCGTGCCACAGATCCAAGAGTACAAGCATTACAGAATAACGGTTATGCAGCTTCCTCACCTTCAGCTACCCCAGAGGTTTCACCTTCAGCAACCCCACAACAGACAGATGATGAAGTGGATGAGTTGCCTGATGTTATCACTGTGCGAAACAAGCGTCGTTTGAAACGACAAAGCAGCAAAGAAACTCAAAACAATGGTTAGTATTCATTTAATAGATCAGTGTGGCAATCTTTTTCTTACAAGTAGAATCTAATTAACAACAAGTCTAATATAATTTATAATTATAGTAATCATAATTAGACAGTATTAATAGTTGTCTATTATTAATAATAGTTATTGCTATTAACAATATGATTACAGTGAAACCTCTATTAAGAGGACGCCCTTAGGACCTTCCCAAGTGTCCACTTAATAAAGGTTTATAAGAATTGTGCAATGTTTGTTAACAATTAACATTCAACAGTTCCTCTGTACTGTAATAAAGTTCCAGGTTGTTAATGAAGCTATCCAAAGTTCAAGTTCATTACCTTTCAGTTACCAACTTTAATTTGTTTGTAATAATGCCCTTTGCATACAACAACGATAATACAGGTACATTTAATGGACTATTTCTAGGACGTAATCCAATGCCACGTTGGCAATTCAGTCCGGTGTCCGCTTAATAGAGGTTTTTAACAATCAAAATTAGCCAAATACGATTTATTTTAGTGTCCGTGTCTGCTGAATAGGGGTTCATTATAAAGGAAAATATAAGAAGTTAATTTCGGGACCAGGCTAAGTGTCCGCTTAATAGAGGGTGTACGCTTAATTGGGGATCTGCTTAATAGAGGTTTCATTGTATTTTGACTATTTAATATCCCTATTAAGAATGTATAATAAACGACGGACGAAGGCTAAAACTACAAAGGTGTTTTATTAAAACTAGATATGATCAGATAATCATGGCTCTCACACTCCTGGGCTACTGCGCCTAGCTTGGTAACCATCACTTGGCACTAGGTACCAGACCTACAAATGTTTTAAAATAACATTTAATCATAGTCACTGTTAGTATTACACATTCATATATTAAAGAGTAACACTTGTACTGAGTAAATTACAGACCGAGCTTGCTTTAGCTGGAACTGCACATTAATTATCGGAGGTATTCACAGTCGTGTGATCTCCAAGTACTCCATGTAAATGTGGAAAAATGCAGGCCTGGTCTTGTTCTTTATCATTTCCCTTACACACCGGACCACAAAAGTTAATTCCATTTTCACTTGCCCAAGAGCATAATTTACTTGCCTTGGGCAATCAGACTTGGGGTTTTTCCTTCCTTGTGCAGCCCAACAGGTTCTTTAGAAACTAACAAATTTGTTTAATACACTAATTGTTAAGTGCAGTGATCTACACTGTATCTATAGGCTACTGTCATGATTTATCATTGATTATAATGTGTAGACAGGACCCTGCCCACACTCTGATCAGTAAAAAACTCACGTTTTATCAGAATATAAAACATAGAAAAAGTGTGGTTTATTGTTTTTTGCCTATATCATAAAGCAAATGAAGAAAAACCATCCGGGCATTTAAGAGCACTCAAGAAATGTAGAAAATACTTGCCTGTGGCTCGTGTTTTCTACATTTCCCTCATGTTCTCAAATGCCTGTCATGTTTTATCACTGACAGTGTAATACACAGCTTAGGCTTCTTTATTTGTTACTTAAATTATAAGGTGTAGTCACTGCCTGGTGTGGGGGGGGACTCCCATATAAAAATGACAGGGATGTTCCTCGTACCTTTTAGGTGTTAAAAACACAGATTTGGTATCTCCAATTAGGGTGTTTAGCCTCAAAAGGTCCACAGCAGGAACTTTTGGGGTACCTGTTAGGGCATTGAGCTGAAAAAATATGACAGGAGATAATGTGTTATGTAAGTCTAATTGGTACCTCTTAGGGGAGAAAAAAATTTCAAGCCACGCCCACAAAACAGGATCTTGGTACCTCTTAGGGGTTATTTTCAAAATTTCTGACGAGCACTCAGCCCGTCCCTTTTATGCAGGAGTTCCCCTGGGAGTAAGTGTTCAGTTAAGCCTATGTTATTCAAGCCGAGACATCAAATGTGCATGTAGCTGACTGCTCTGATTTGTTAAAACTGATGTAAACACTAGTTGAATCTGTTTGATTTTGGTTTTTCAGTACTAAAAAAGGATGGTGCAAATGAAAGCTTGCTAGATCCCAATGAACTTGCAGCTGATGAAGGATTCAATTACAAAGGACAAGACAGTAAAGGTAATTAGAAAATAGCTCAAAGAAAATATGTGCTGATTGGTTTAAAATTGTTTTTCTATTTGACAATTAGATTATGAGCTCAAGACTTCTATCAAGTGACAGTTGATGAGGATGCAGCCCGAATCAATTATCACGCATAGAAATTGAGAGCAAATAATCTAATTGTTTTAGTACCAATCTACTAGTTGTTCAAAACTTTATCTAAATCCTCCTCACAGACAGCTCAAAAATGCAAAGAAGTGGTTCTCAGTTTGTTAACAAGTGCACACTGCTATGCTACTCACTATCTATAACAGAATAGATAGTGAGTAGCATAGCCAACTAGAGAACGGCATTCGTGATATATAGAACACTAGTAGATACTAAGACTCGATAGAAACACAGAACAAGCACTGTGTTTTTGGTAAAGACTTGGAAATGTGGTCAAACACTGTCTTGAGTTTTTGATAAATTATACAGTGTATCTTCTTGATCCAAACTAGAACTTAGGAGAAAATGTAGTTCTAAATAAATTCATCAAAATCTAATGATAATTAAGATCAGATTATTCAAACACTGTCCTGGTCATGATTTCCTTTTTTGAACTTGATGAATTATTAAATGAGCTTGAGAAATGGATTTCCAGCCCTGAGAAAAGCTGTAATTGGATACGTTTAAAATTACAACAATTTCAATTTGATGATACTGATGGCATAATGTTTGATATCATGTTTGACCCTTCAACTGTGCTTGAATCTGTCAGTGTACGATTGAAACATCTTTGGATATTCCTTGTACATTTTGGCATTATCTTCAGTTATCTCCAAAAATCTGCATAAACTTTCAGGAAATTTTTGGAAACGTTGTGTGGCCTTCGCGTGGCCTATGTGTACGCATTAATGTATTACTGATCTCTCTACTTACATTACTAATACACATTCTTTAAATACTCTCAAACTGTAGATGTTGGACAGTCTAGATCAAGGAGTCATAGTTTAGACGCATTGAAAAGAAAATTTTCAATTTCTCTTGAAAAGGATGATTACCAGCCATTAGGGGAAGAGGTACAGTATGCATATTTCCAGCACTTATTATAATAATTATAATAAGTTTTGCATAATAATAATAATTATTATTATTAATTTGGGAGCTAGGAAATATAATAATATTATTATGGGTCATAAAAATTTTTTGATCCAATCTTGTAATTCTTAATGTCATGAATCACAATAATGAATTATATCGTTGGTGTTTTTTTGTTGTTTGTTTGTCTTCTTGCTTGTTTTTCCTGTCACTGCATCCACTTTCAATCCCTCTGCATACCTGTGTATACCTACAGTAGCCCATTGCAAAAACATGAGAGGACTGGCAAAGAGTATGGTTGTTTTCCGTTTTGTTTGAAAAACTAAGATATTCAAATGAAAGATCAACTAAATTTGAGAGTCTTAAGCAAGAATAGAAATATTTAGAGAAGGAAAATGGCAAAATGATAGCTCTTCAAATATCACCTAAAACAGAGAGTTTGTATGGATTGGGTAAAATTTTAAGGGTTGGATGGAATTTTGCAACTTTTGCAAGGCTCCCATTTGGGCAAGTTTCCGCTGAAAACTCTCAAACTTGACTGGGTAGCTTTTCATTCAGTAACATTTCATTTGAAATGTTTAGATTTTCAATCTAATCAATATAAGAAACTCGTCCCAGTCCTCTCACGCTTTTGCAATGGGCTATGAACCTTTTAGGTTCAAATCAGACATTATTTATTGCAGTAAAAACAACCCAGGTCCAATTTCCTGGGGTAAGTAAACTTTGCTTTTGAGCAGGTGAGGTGGCCTTATGGTTAGTGTACTCGTCTCCAGATCGAGTGGTCCGGGTTCAAGTCCTGGCTGGGGACATTGTGTGGGCAAGACACTTTACTCTCACGGTGCCTCTCTCCACCCAGGTGTATAAATGGGTACTGGCAAACTTAAATGCTGGGGGTTGCCCTGTGATGGACTAGCATCCCATCCAGGGGGGAGTAGAAATACTCCTAGTCACTTCTTGCTACTGAAACCGGGATAAGTGGGCCACTAGGCTCGTATGCAGACTTAACCTTCGGGTGAAAAGGGAAGTTCAGTGACCCAGTGGGCAAGTGAAATTAGCCTCAGTAGTCTTGTGAGGAAAATGTATGCCAATTAAATTGTATTTGACTACATATTAGGTAATTATTAGTATATCATTATTAGTTTAGGTACTTTTTGATAAATCAATATTTTGTCTCATTTAGGATCCAGATGAACTTCAAGGTAAGCAATAATTTGAGTTAACACTTTTAGAATGGATTCTATTGCCTGTAAAATTAATATAATGTGCTGCCAGTATTTTAAAAAAAGCTGCAAGTAGAAATCATAATATTAGGTGAATAGAAAAACAAAGGAGCTGGGTGTATTAAACAGTCAGAGAGAGAATTGAGAGATTGACTGAACTAGCTATTATCTTGTTAATACAAATTGTATAATGTACTGTACTTGAATGTATATAAGATGTTTCAATGATTGGATATTATGCATAAATATTATGGGATGGGCTAGGCTGGGCTACGCCATGCAATAATATCAAACCACCGTAATTTTTTTAATTGAAAGGTAAAATGAGGTGTCTTGACTGTTTTTAAAATTACCGTGTTAATATTATGTATGTGTGTACCCCATACAACCACTCAGATTAAATTACAAATAAAAATATCTTCTCATGTGCAAACTTTATGGAGGAAGCGTGGCCAAGTGGTTAGGGACTTGAAATCCAGAGGTCGCAGGTTCAAGTCCCGCTCTGACCACTTAGCTGGAGTTCTTTTTCGGTAGACCCTACTTCAACTCCTCGGTCATGCTTGTAAATAAACAACTGGTCTGCCTCCTGCCAGTTTTTGATTTTTAACCATGTTATGTTCATTTGCATTGTTTGTTTCATCATTTGGTTTCATTGGCCCTGAAAAGCCCCATTGGGGGAGTGGTCAATTAAGATATTTTTATCTTATGTTATTTATTTTTTTCTTTGTCTTAGGAAATGGTGAGGTTCAACCTAGAACACGCAGTGGCTCAATATTAAGTTTCAAAGCATTGAAAAGAAAATTTTCTCTACCTGAAAAAGAACAAGATTATTCTTTTGTTAGAACAGAGGTATGATACTTGATTGAAAAAAAAAACAGCACATTTTGTTATATAGCTGGCGTTTTTCCCGCTACAGCACGCCCATTCATTGGCAAGTTCACATGACATCTAACAATGACACTGTTTACCGCCAAATGCCACGAGCAGGCAACAGTGCGAAAACTCTGACGTCAAACGGGAAACAGTTCACTGTTACCCGCAAAATGTTGACCGCTGTTGCATGCCATTTGTCAATAAAGTGATTATTTGTGTTTTGACTGGTCCCTTGGGGAACAGTGAATTTTGTTTCCCTCAAGAGATTCTCGGGAAACAAAATTCACTGTTCCCCTCGGGACCATTCATTAAGTGTTTTTTTAACGGGATACGGGATATAAAGGCCAAAATTAACGGAATGTGGGTAGCCAGACACCCCCCTCCCTCCCNTTGTTATTTTTAATTGTATTTTTCTAATGTAATGTACTGAAATGATTTCATCTTGTAGCAAATTCCTTCTAATTTTTAAAATAGTACCTATGTATAACTTGAGCCACGTTCAGCTTGATGTCCTTTCCCTTGGGGGTCTAATTCAAATTTCCCTCCTCCCTCGGTCGGGTCTGTCGCTGTCTACATGTCACGTGTGATTTCATGTACTGCACTTGCAGCGAGTTTCTGATCAGATGATTATTTCGTTGTGTCGTGTTAGGATCCAGATCAAGATCGGAGAAGAGATCATATAACCTCATACACTGGTAAGTTCTTTACCCTTCTGAAGATGTGACAAATGCTACCAGTTTATCAAAATAAATTACGGTCAAACCTTCACTAACGGCCACCTCTTTACAACGGCCATTTTTTTTTTTTTTGTCCCGGCGGACAGTCCATACATTCACTCTTATTTTAACCTTTCTACATCGTCCACCTCTTCAGAATGGCAATGGCCACTAAAACCAAAATTACCTCTCGACAACGGCCAGTTAATCAACGACTGACGAACAGTTTATACAAAACCCCTTTTTTTTATTGCAAAAGGTCACCAAACTTGATCAGTTCCGCGCTTCGTTGGTCTCTGTTCCTGTTAATTTTCTGTATTATCGATACGTTTGATTTAACATACGCTAAAAACAAATGTTACACTCCCGAAAAAAATCAAGTGTCACGGTACGCCCCTACTTCCCCATAACAGCCACCCCTCTACAACGACCACTGGATATCCAAAAAAAAATAAATATAAAAAAAAATACATGTAACGTTTTGTTTGTTTATTTATTTGTTTGGTTCTTGGTTTGTTTGTTTTACAGAACCAATTAAGATTGAGGTGGAGCCCATGCATCAGAGACAAAAAGAAGGTTCAAGAGTGGAATTCAAGTGCAACGTGCAGGGAAATAAGAAAGTATTTTATCAGTGGGCTAAAGATGGTACTGAAATGCAAGGTCAAAATAGCTCCAGTCTAGTGTTGGATTGTGTTGAGATGCGTGACTTTGGCTGCTATGTGTGTCACGTAAGCGACGCTAATGCCGATTGTATCAAATCAACTGCTGCAGTACTAGATGTTGCTCCTCGTGATGGAATGGGTCAGTGTTGTCTGAATTGTATTATAGTGAAAAAAACTAATGTTTCTTCCCTTCCAGAGTCAGGGTTATTACAGGTCAGGAAATGGTCGGGGAAAAACGTTTTTCGTCGTCGGGGAAAATTCAGGGATTTTATTTTGAATCAGGGAAAATTGCCATTTTGAAAAAAGGTCAGGAAAAATTGAAATAATTTCACACGGCTGATTTAATACCATTGAAGGCTGGAAGAAACACTTGGACTGGAATCACAGTGATCTCCAATGATGTTTCTTTTTTTCTTAATGAAGAAGGAGAATTTTTTTTTCTGAAAACGTATTTAGTCTTAATGAATGGGTGAAAAGGACGACTGTCAGGGGAGGCTTGAAGCTGCAACTGTATCTGGCACTTTATTTTCATCAGGGGCAAAATGGGGGAAAAGTCAGGGAATGTTGGAAAGTAATGACTGCGACAACCACGGTAGTATTTCTGGTCGGAAATCTTTGGGGTGTCAGACCTAGCAGTTAATTTCCAGACAACCAAACAATTAACAACACTTTTTTTGTGTTTTTTCAGACTACAAATGCCTTAGACAGATTGATGACAAGACTCAATCAAAGGTTGAAACCCTGCTTACCAAGAGGATCCACGGACTTGGCGGGTGGAAGCAAGTTGCTATCAAATACGACATGGACGAAGTTGATAGAGACTCCCTTGAAGGAAGTCCTGACGCCGGGAAAACCACAATTGCGTACGTTAAAGCGACCAACCCAGATTTAACCGTATACGAGTTTTGTAAGACGTTAAAAGAACGCAACATACGGCGGTTTGATATCATCAAAGAACTACTTGGGCATCTTTCTGCTCTGTCTTTAGAGAAAACCTCATAGTTAAGAACAGACACGCTGTCATTTGCCTTAGCGGTTCATGAATGTGTGAGTTCGTAACTTCTCTTTATCCTTTTCATAAAAAATTTCACTGATTTTGGCTCGGAGAATTAACGACCTGTTCACCTTCGTGAGAAATAGTGTTGCATAAACAGTAAGGAGAAAATCGATGCTGATTTATAGAGTATCAGCACGCGCTTGTCCTGTGAAATTTTGCCACAAGGCCCCCTGTCCACACTACGCTGGAGAAAACGCAGCTTTATTTCTACGGTTAGGCCTACCGTCCACACTAATCCGTCACGAAAAAGGAGCTTGTTGTAAACGCTCTGCAAGCCGGAAGAAGTTGAAAACACCCGCTTTGCGTTTTTGTGGACGTAAAACATTTTGAAAACGAAGCTTTTCGAAAACGATGATGTCACGATAATCACGTGATTTCCCTGACCGAGTTTTCCTCAAACACCAATCAAAAATGACCGGTGATTGTGGCGTTTTCAAATTTCTTCGGCGTAGTGTGAGTGGGGCCTTAGAGAATCTGTCCTCAGGAAATTTTAACAAAAAACACCTTACAGCTATTTTTATGTATAGTATATTTTAAATTTTAGGGATTTTTATGCATATTGCCGGTGCAAGAGTTCAAAAATTGGACGAGTTTGTTTGTAACCTGCTTGCGACTCTGCTAGCAGGATAGCTGATTAGTCCAGAAGATTTCAGAGTATATTTTACTGAGCAGCTTTGTCAATTGAACCATATTTTATGTAGTATTTTCTTGTTATCGTACTCAGGCGTACTTGGTCAAACTTAAGTTCAATAAATAACTAGATAAAGGTATCCTTGTTTTTCCTAACCGGGTAAAGTTGAGAAGAATTATGAAGTTTAAGTGTAGCCTCGCTTGCTGCTCGTGTTTTCATAACTACTTATGAGTGTTTGCATCGTGTTTGTCATAAAGATGCGGTCATGTTCTTTTTCTTTTTTTTTTTTTTTTTTACAAAAATACGTCGTTACTTACTGTGTTTGCAGAAATCTATTACTTGGAAATGAACCTTCATGCAAAACACATTTTCATATGAAGACTCGTTTTGCCGACCCAGAGGCAAAAGGCAACTCGGAAACATGACCATATATTTTTATATATATTATAAAATAAAAGCTTTTGTTAAACATGAACGATGCAAATCGATTACGATAAATATTTTTTTACTTGGTAAAACTATGTAATGTTTCTGTTTAAATGGGTTTGCTGGAATTGGCTGAATAATATAGTAACTTTTATCTGGCTAGGGTTTTTAAATTGCTTTGAAATGGCATCCATGATTTGGAAACCAGCCCTCGATTGACCAAATGGTGGGTGAAAATTAAAGATTATGTTTTAGTGAAGTATAATTTAACGATTGTCTGCATGTAGTAAATATTATCTCGGCTATAAAATAGCTGTTTTATAGATAAATAATTAAGTCGTAATTTTAATAAATTTATTCTTATCGACTTAGTTAGCTGTTTTAGGATTTTATCAATGACTTTAAACGACCTCCGTTTGTCAACTACTAACTAAATACTATCTAAATAGAATGCTAGGAGAAAACGTTATCGTTACCAGTCTACTAGCGGCTCACTAGCCGGCATGTGTCTAAGGACAAACGCGGGAAAAACGAGCCGCTGGCAAGGCTAACCTCGTCCCAGTGCCAATTCGGAACTTAGATATCGCGTACGTAAGAGTATAGTTAGACATTTTCTAATTGTAGCTGGCCTACCGTATGACAGAACATTTTGCTCAATACGTGTGTTTTGCAATGGAGTGAAATTTTTATTAATAAACAATTTTTTTTTTTTCAGTTTGCAGGTTTTGTTTTACGTTATTTATTTCCTAATATTGTAATTGGATTGAATAAGTGGATCGGTTCTATTTACGAGATGACTAAACCGGAGAAGAAAAGCGTGTGTGATTAGAACAGTTTTAATTTTCAGCGTCGTAAAAGCCAAAGGAATTACTCTGGCCAATCACAAAGGACGCCGACAACCAATTCGGCCAATCATAACTCCTTAGCAAATACATGTAGCTGGCGCCAAGCGCGGGAAAACGAGTGCGAGCGAGTCTCGATAAGTCCAGGCCCTCGCTCTGTCACGCAACGCTGCGTCACGATCAGCGTTGCTTTGAATTCTGATTGGCCATACATGACAAAGGGGCGCGAGTTTTTTAAGCCCGTAGCGTAGCTTAGCAATGCAATAACCAAAGAAAATGCGAATTAGTATCGACAATGCTCGAGTGAAAACCGCTGTATATAGTGCGCAATTGGTTTAGCTCCTTGCTGTGGTGAAGAAGTTTATGCGCCATTCAACTGAGAACCAACAATCAGGAAAAGTGCTAGCCTGCGAATACCGCGCCACACATCACCCTCTGCCCCAGGCCTCTGGGCGGTTTGGAAAGACGGCACCGGCCGATTTCTGACAGAATTTGGACCAAGACAGTGACTGATCGTGATTAGGAAGGAATGTAACAAATACCAATTCCACTGTGTCCAGAAGTCGACTGGATGGTCAAAGGACTCCTACAACTTTTTTTTTTTTTTTTCAATTTGTGCAGAAAGTATTCTTTCAATTACGGCTCGACAAACACAAAGGGAGTAAGTAAATTTTGGGAAAATTACTTCAGCTATGGCCCCAAATAATTAATTGAAAAAAACAATTCCGAGAATCTCACAAACTTTGAGCAGTAGCCCATGTTTTGACAATTCGTGGCTGATTGGACTAAGATGATTGAATTTTTCAAAATGAGGGTTTGTGTTACATACACACATCAGTAGTATGCATGACGTGTTATTTTTCAAACGGTAAATAACTAGTGTCGTTGCAGTTCAGTCTGCAGACAAATCTAGACCCTTTCACGTAGCTAGAATGACAAACCGCTGATAACTGTGTTAACAGTTACTAAATAGTTACTAAATAACAGAGAGGATGTGCCTATCTTTATATCGGCATTTTGCGGGGCAAATTTAAAATACCCCGAATGGAGTATAACATGGTATAAGAATAATTTACATGTAGACATGTTCTAACAATAGCTTGTGAAAATTAAATGGTTACCGAATATCTAATGTTGCTTAGCAGCTATAATATTAGGGATTTATACTGAGACATCGCGGCAGGAGTTTAATCTTTGTTTGCTACAGCAGTCACAAAAACTTTCTAAGTGCATGTAAATTGAAAGTGTCTCTCCTTTTATGCAAAATCATTTACTATCAAATTTAATTATTTCACCCTAAGCCAGGCCAGAATTGCCAAAAACTCGGAGCATTTCGCTTTCAGACCATTCCCTACAGTGAGAGATTTCAACCCAAACTTTAGAGTCCTCTGATTGGCAATTCCCCCACGTGTTGCATCACAATTTCTGCAACAACAACAGAAACAGGCGACCCCATGGCTGTTCCATGCAACTGTTTGTAGTGTTTATCGTTATACTGAAAGTAAGTCGATGTAAGGCAAAGGTTCAGTAAGTCCATGATGTCTTCTGTCTGTAACGGTAGTTTAACAGTAGATTGTTGTATAGCGGTCTCGGTACACTGTAATGCCAGTTGAAGTGGAATACTGGTGAACAGTGATTTCACATCAAAAG